TAAAAAATCATTGATAACTTTTTTTTTGAAGAAAAAGTTTGTTTAATTTTCTTTTTATAGAAAATCTTCGATAAATGTTTTTTTTATAGAAAATTTGCGATAAATTTTTTTTATAGAAAATTTTTGTTAGATAGAGCTAATGTTACCTATTACTAAGAAAAGACTATCTGAAGCACAGATGAGGAAGTTGAAAAAATGCTTCAGGAAATCATAGTTAGTCAATCCAACGACACTCCAAAGGAAAAATCGGGCTCTTTCACAAGATCTGAGACAAAAAAGATCAGGTCTCCCGAGGAGTTGACAACTGAGAATAAACCTAAGAAGAAAAATACACCGTCGAAACCAAGCCATACTTCACTCAAAGAAACCTCAATTCAGATTCCTGAGAGTGAGGGTCACAACGCCAAGATAGATATTCCGAAGGCGATCACGTCGGCGAAATCAAACTCGAAGGTAGGGTATCTCAATAGAAGCCCCGAAAAACGAGGAAGGAGAGGCTAGACAGTGGAAAAGGAAAAGAGCTGCTATCTTACGCCAAAGTTGCCAGAAGACTATCTCTGCTATGCAGTTTACGATGCCGATAATCCAGCAAAATTCCAATGATCAACAGAGTAAAATAGAAGACCTGGTCAACACAAGCAAACAAACGATAGAGAGCGTGAGCTGCGGGTTCAGCATGGACGTGATGTTGATGAGGTTGCCATCTCACCAATATGTTAGCACCCTAAAGAACTTAGTGGAAAGTATCCCCCTAAGCTGGGAAAGAAGAATCTGAGGGAACTTTATTTGTAATAGGTATCGAGCAGAAATCTATGGCTAGTCTTGCCAAGAATAAAGGTAGGGCTTACTTCGCCTCTAAAGCTGTCATATTAAAATTGGGAAGGTGCCGATTGGATGGGCTGTTACAACAAGCTTCGAAAAGGAAACTAAAAAACCTAAGACCAGAGCATCAGTAGCCACTACTGATAACGTTGAGGAGTCAAATCCTAAAAGGTATAGCATTCCTTTTTTAAACTTTTAAACTACGTAAATAGTCAGTTTTTAAAATTCAAACATTAATATACTGACAACAAATACCTTTTACAAGTATTACCCTTCCCCAATTTAATACTGTAGTAAAAAAAGTACTTTTTTTTATTGTAACGCCCAACACTAGTTTCACCAAATTGTTTTTTACTCATTCATAATAGAGTGCTAACAACAACTACAACAACATCATACTTCTTTAGTTATTTGCATATTCCTCTTTAGTTTTCGGGAATTGTTTAAAGCGGCCGGTCGGTTGACAAATGTTTAATTGTCTAATTAAAATTAATCTAGCATCTAAATTAAACTCGTAAATTAAAATATTTTTGCATTAAATTAAAATTAAATGTTGCTTAATAGTTTTATGTAAAAAAAATGTCAAAAAGTTTAAAATTTAAATGTGAAAACAGTGTTAGAACATGTGTAATAAATTTAATGCAATTTTTCAACTTGGTCGGTTTCTCGCTTTTGTTCGGTCGTTTGTTTCGTGGGATGAAAAAAGTGTTGAAGTGAGAAAGAGAGAGCAGCGCGGGTGATGAAAAGTAAGAACTAAGTAGTAATGAATGAGAGTACAAGTGAGGAGTTAAGAAAAATGTGCGTAGTTGTTATGTTATTGAAATGCATGCATGTGCAAGCAGGTTATTGCAATGTCAGAGTTGATGAATATGTCTAGAAATAAATAACATCTTTATTTTAATCGGCATTTTAAGGTGAGTAATTTGCTACATTAACATTTTGTTTTCCTTTTACATATGTGTTTGTCCTTTAAAAAATTATTCCTATTGGAATCTACATACATATCTCTACGAAATTTTATTAGGATCAATATATAACTAATACCAGACCCATATAGATAACACCTCTTACAGAAAATTATCAGTTTATTGTCAATTATATATTAAAAAATTAGGATATTTGATAAAATTGTACAAAAACTATTTGTTTAAGGAAATTAAATTCTGTAGGGCTTAGTTTACAATTGAACGATTTAAGTATTTACCTCAAATCTTAAAAAGTAAACACAATTTGACTAAAGTTTCTAATGTTTTAATAGTTTTAAATTATCTACATTTAGCACAAAGTTATAATAATAATTCAGCTAATTAAAATGCAATTCAGCTGGAAACAAAACTCAATTTCGCTAGCTACAAATACATTTTAATATCTAATTATCCAATTCATGCAAAAACACCTTAATGTTATAATTCAGCAATATTTAAGCTATTCAGCTATTAACAAAATTAGCTTTTTCATGTTTAGTTAAAATTTTTTTAATTTAGCTACCTTCGAAATTGCCAAAACAAATGTTCTAGGTATATTTAAATAAATTAATTTTATCATTCAGCTTATTAAAATGCTTTTCAGCGGGGAAAAACTTAGTTCAGCTAATATAAATTGTTTAGAAATGCATTTTCCTTATTAAAAATGTTTATAGTTCAGTAGAAAACCTACATTCAGCTCCACAAAAATGTAATTCAGCTAATGCAAACTAGTGAAACATGCAATTTCTATGTTAGCACTTCTTAATTTTATAATTCTGCTAATATGAGTATATAAATACATTGGAATTATTCAGAAAACTTAATATATTTATTTTAAACTAGAATATTTCATACCTAGTACAGCTAACAAAATTTATATTCAGCTTTCATTCAGCTTGCTTTCACTATTTGGAAAAGAAATATGCTTTAAATGTTATTATTCAGAAGTAGAAAATATGAATTTTGCTATTTATATTAAATAAAATCTCTTTTACTCCTAAAGTGCCATCCCACTAATCAACTTATCAAAAAAGTACTTTTACTTGTTTACCCAACACTAAATGAATTCATTGACCTCTTTGTTTTTCTCACACTTAAAAAAGTGCTAATAACAACAACATCAACATCTTTCAATACTCCTTAGTTATTTGCATATTCCTCTTTAGTTTCGGGAATTGTTTAAAGCGGTCGGTTGACAAATGATTAATTGTCTAATTAAAATTAATCTAGCGTCCTAATTAAACGCGTAAATTAAAATATTTTTGCATTAAATTATAAATTAAATGTTGCTTAATAGTTTTATATAAAAAAATATCAAAAAGTTTAAATTTTAAATGTGAAAAAAATGTTAGAAATCTGCAACAAATTTGATGCAATTTTTCAACTTCGTCTGTGTTTCGCTTTTGTTCGGTCGTTTGTTTGTCTTCGTGGAAGAAAACAAGTGTTGAAGTGGGAAGAGCAAGCGCGAGAGGTAAAGAAGTCAAAAAGAAATGTTAGTAAGTGAGAGTGCAAGTGAGGAGTTAAGAAAAAGTTCGTAGTAGTTGTTGTTATTGAAGTGCATGCATGTGCAAGAAGGTGAATGCTAATTTACAAAGTCAGAGTTAATGAATATGTATAGACAACATTATTTTATGCACAAACAACATTATTTTAATCGGCATAAGGTGAGTGAGTAATTTGCAATATTTATACATTGATTTCCTTCTACATATGTGTTGTTCCATAAAAAATTATTCCTATAGGAATACATATAACACCTCTGATATAAATATCAATAAATAAATATTCAAAAATTATGAAATTTTGATTAATTTCGCACTTCTTTAATATTCTGTAGGGTTTCGTTCAAATTAACCCATTCAAGGAACTATTCTGAGTAGGTTTGGGTATGAAATTTTGAAAAATTTTTAATATTTTATAGGGTTTAGTTCAAAATTGCAGAACTATTCTGATTAGGTTTACTTTCGCATGACCTTGCACTTGAAGGGAAATCTAGTAGTCACCTTAATTAAAAGTTTTAAATGCAAATAAATCACAAGGCTTAAAATTATAATTCAGCTAATAAAAATGCTATTCAGATGAGAAAAACTCAATTTCGCTAGTTAAAAAAATAGGTATGTACAGAAAATAAATTGTTTAATTTTTTTATCCAATTCATACAAAAGAATATTGCATTATGAGTTTGTTATTCAGCACGTAAAAAATCAATTCAGCAAGCTCAAAATTCACAAAAACAAATATTTTTTAATTGTATATGGTTTAGAATTCAGCTAATATAGATGATGTTCAACCATTTTTCCTAAAAACGGCATAATTTTATAATTCAGCTAACTTCTGAAATTGCTAAAACAAATGTTCTCTATTTAAGTAAAATAATTTTATCATTGAGCTTATTAAATTGTTATTCAGCAGGGCAAAAACTTAGTTTAACAAATACCTATAAATTGTTTTCATTATTAAAAATGTTTATTATTCTGCTGAAAAACTACATTCAGCTCAATAAAAACGTAATTCAGCAAATAGAAACTATTTAAACATGTATGTACTTTCTATGATAGTAATTATTAAAACTTTGATATTATTTACTTAAATAAGATTATTTTATTTCTGAAAAATCATAAATTAGTTAATATTTTATAATTCAGCAGTAGAAAAATTCAATTCAGCTAACTATTTATATTAAATAAAATCTTAATCAATTTAAATCACAAAATTATGCCAATATTTCACATATTAAAGCCAAGTGAACTTTACACCAAAAAAACCTTTTCATTTTGGTATTACTATTCTAACAAAAAAGTACTTTTACTTCTTTACCCAACACTGAATAGATTCATTGACCACTTTGTTTTTGTTTTTTTTTTTTTTTTTTCTTCTCACACTTAAAAAAGTGCCAATAACAGCAACAATAACATCAATCACTATTCCCTTGGTTATTTGCATATTCTTCTTTAGTTTTCGGGAATTGTTTAAAGCGGCCGGTTGACAAATGATTAATTGTCTAATTAAAATTAATCTAGCATCTAAATTAAACGCGTAAATTAAAATATTTTTGCATTCAATTATAAATTAAATGTTGCTTAATAGTTTTATAAAAAAATTGTCAAAAAGTTTAAATTTTAAATGTGAAAAAATGTTAGAAAATCTGCAACAAATTTAATGCAATTTTTCAACGCGGTCGCGGTGTTTCGCTTTGTTCGGTCGTTTTTTGTCGTTGAAAGAAACAAGTGTTGTAGTGGGAAGAGCAAGCGCGAGAGGTAAAGAAGTAAAAAAGAAATGTTAATAAGTGAGAGTGTAATTGAGGAGTTAAGGAAAAAGTTCGTAGTAGTTGTTGTTATTAAAATGCATGCATGTGCAAGAAGATGAATGCTAATTTGCAAAGTCACAGTTAATACAGTAATCGGTATAAGGTGAGTGAGTAATTAATACATTTTGGTTTCCTTTTATGTGTTGTTCCATAATTGATACCACATTCCATATAACACCTTTTACAGAAAATGATAAGTTTATTGTCAATAAAATATTCAAAAATTAGTGAAATTTTACTTTAATATTCTGTAGTTTGTTCAAAATTGACCCATTTAAGGAACTATTCGGAGTAGGTTTACTTTCGCACGACCTTGTATATAAGTGAAGTCTCGTAGTCACCTTAAATCTTCTAAAATTACGAAAGTTTGACTTAAGGTACAAATGTTTCAAAAAAGTTGTAAATGCAAATAAATCACAAGGCTTTAAATTATAATTCAGCTAATAAAAATGCTATTCAGATGGGAAAACCCCAATTCCGATAATTAGAAAAAGTACAGAAAATAAATTGTTAAACTTTTTTATACAATTCTTATAAAAGAATATAAATTGCATTAATACGGCTGTTATTCAGCTCGTAAAAAATCAATTCAGCAAGCTTAAAATTCACGAAAACAATTTTTTTAATAACTGTAGTTTAGAATTCAGCTAATATACATAGATACTGTTTAACCATCTTTTCTAAAAACTGCATAATTTTATCATTCAGCAATAATTAAGCTATTAGCACATTTAGTTTTTTTTTTTTTTAAATTTAGTCAAAAATTTATAATTCAGCTAACTTTTGAAACTCTAAAACAAATGTTCTCTATTTAAGTTAAATAATTTTATCATTCAGCTTATTAAATAGGTATTCAGCTGGGCAAAAACTTAGTTTAGCTAATATAATTGGTTTTATTATTTAAAATGTTTATAATTCCGCTGAATAACTACATACAGCTCAATAAAAACGTAATTCAGCAAATGGAAACTATTTAAACATGTACTTTCTATGTTAGTATTATTTATAAAACTTTATTATTATTTATTTAAATGAGAATATTTGATTTTTGAAAAAGCGTAACTTAGTTATTTTTAACTATTTAAAAAAATCTTTTATATTAAATTTTATAATTCAGCAGTAGAAAAATTCAATTCAGCTAACTATTTATATTAATAAAATCTGAATCAATTTCAATCGAAAAATTATGTCAATATTTCATACATTAAAGCCAATTGCACTTTACACCAATAAACCCCTTTCACTTATTACTATTTTAACAAAAAGTACTTTTACTTCTTTACCCAACACTGAATAGATTCATTGACCACTTTGTTTTTGTTTTTTTTTCTACTCACACTTAAAAAGTGCCAATAACAACAACATCAACATCTTTCAATACTCCTTTAGTTATTTGCATATTCCTCTTTAGTTTTCGGGAATTGTTTTAAAGCGGCCGGTTGACAAATGATTAATTGTCTAATTAAAATTAATCTAGCATCTAAATTAAACGCGTAAATTAAAATATTTTGCATTAAATTATAAATTAAATGTTGCTTAATAGTTTTATGTAAAAAAAATGTCAAAAGTATAAAATTTATATATGAAAAAAGTGTTAGAAAATGTGTAACAAATTTAATGCAATTTTTCGTCGCGGTAGTTGTTTCGCTTTTGTGCGGTCGTTCGTTAGTGGGTAATAAAAAGTGTTAAGAGAGTAGAGTGAGGGTATAAAGAAGTAAAGAGTTAATGATTGGAAAAAAATAAGAGTGTGGTTAATAAGCAAAAAATGAGTATTAGTTAGTGAGAGTGGGGGGTAAATAAAAAGTGCATAGTAGTTGTTGTTATTGTTATTATGAAAATTTCAAGTGTTTTTGCTTGTTTATGTTAAAGGCTAATAAATGGAAGTAAATTATGTACCTAAGGTGAGTGATTTGCAACATGTATTTTGTCTTTCCTTTTTGTATGTTGTTCCTTCAAAAAAAGCTTTTTTGAGCTTTTTAAGCTTTTAAACTTTTTAATGTTTTACCGATTAGGTTTGTGGGAATGAAATGTATAGGATTGTGTTTAAGCTTTTATTGTAATTTACAGCTTTTTAATAATTTCATATGCCTTTTAATATTAAGTAGTGATTAGAGCTTTTATTAACCAAGATCAAACACAATGATATTGTTGTAATTATTAAGAAGCTAGACTATAGACTAGATTATAGACCATATTATAGACTAAACTATAGACTAGACTATAAACTAGACTATAGACTAGAATATAGACTAGAATATAGACTAGACTAATAGACTAGACTATAGACTAGACTATAGACTAGACTATAGACTAGACTAGACTAGACTATAGACTAGACTATAGACTAGACTATAGACTAGACTATAGACTAGACTATAGACTAGACCATAGACTAGACCATAGACTAGACTATAGACTAGACTATAGACTAGACTATAGACTAGACTATAAACTAGACTATAAACTAGACTATAGACTAGACTATAGACTAGACTATAGACTAGACTATAACTAGACTATAGACTAGACTATAGACTAGACTATAGACTAGACTATAGACTAGACTATAGACTAAACTATAGACTAGACTATAGACTATAGACTAGACTATAGACTAGTCTATAGACCAGACTATAGACTAGACTATAGACTAGACTATAGACTAGACTATAGACTAGACTATAGACTAGACTATAGACTAGACTATAGACTAGACTATAGACTAGAATATAGACTAGACTATAGACTAGACTATAGGCTAGACTATAGATTAGACTATATACTGGACTACAGACTGGATTAAAGTCAAAATTTTAATATAAAAAAGTTTGACTGCAAATCGAGTTTCATACAAAAGATCTCAATTAAAAAAACTATTCATAAACAAATTTTAACTTTCTCAAAATTTTTTTGTAATCCTGTGTAACAGCACGTTAAAAGTATCAATGAATGTGTTTTATTTTGCACTTTTTTCTCCCTTTAAGAAGATTTACTATATCTTGTTATTGTAATATTGTTTTTGGGTAATGTTTTCTATTGTTCAGTTATAGTTGTTGTTCTTGTGTCTGTGGCCATGAAAATGTTTTAAAAATTGGCATTTAAAATGGGGAACATACTTCTACTTGCACTTTAGTTTTACATACAAATTCATACATATATTTAAACTCATGTAACACATGTCATAAATGTTTCTACAGACAAGTTGTCTGTATAGAAAGAAATGTTTTGTAATAAAAAAACACAATCAGACATTATATTGTACTTGTTTCCAAACATTGGCTGACTAGAGGATTCGTTATTGGCTGGCTAGTTCTTGTTTATGTTGTCGATACATGGAGTAATAGAATTAAACATTTCGTAACATTAGAACAAAATACATTGAGTACTTAAGATTTTGTATTTCGTTGTGGGTTTTTATTGCTGCTTTTTGTTTGATTTCATTTTATTTGTTGGAAGTTTTTTTGTTGCTCTTGCTAAAGTTTATATGAATGAGCAAAAAGTAAACCTGTTCAATATGTAAATTTCATTACATTACAACACCATAAGTTAGAAGTTTTGTAGGAATCTGGTTGTTGTTTTATTGTGATTTTCTGTTTGTCTGTCTAGTTGCGTTGCAAGGAGTTATATGTTGCATAGTAATTCCTTTTTTTTTTTTTTGAGGTTGTTTGTATTTTGCAACATGCATCGAGTTATATGCCATTTCATTTGCCATATTGTTGCTATTTCTCTACAATATGCAAACACTTGTTAAATATCATTGGCATTTGTTATCAATATTGACCAGATTTTATTGGCAAGAGAAATGGTAACAAAGAAATAATGTAGAGAATGAAGAAAAAAACAAATAGAAAAAAATAACAAGTCGCCCCTCATCAAGTATTTGTTTGCTTAGATGAAGAAGTTAAGGAAGAAGCTGGAGATGTAGAAGCCACAAATGTATGCATGACTGTACAGAGAGATTGATGTTTGCATTTATTTTCTTCTATTTTTTTATAATAACTAACAGTGGGCTTAAAACAATTTTTTGAATTCATAGACATTTCATTGAATCGATGTCACTTATCATATAGAACAAGACATCGAAACGACGTCTCTTTTTTACAAAAAATTGCATTGAATCGATGTCACTTTTCATATAGAAAATTACATAGAATCAATATGTAATTGACATCGATTCGACGTCACTTGAGAGATCAGTGCCATTGAGAATTACATCAAATCGATGTAAATTTTCATATATAAAGTGTCATCGAATCGATATAAATTTTCGTATACAAAGTGACATCTAATCGATGAAAATTTTCATATAAAAATGACATCGAATTGATGTAACTTTTCATATAAAAAATTACATTAAATTGATGTCAGATTTCGTATAATAGAAAATAACAAAAAGTTTGCGAGTTAAATATATTAGACATCTTTGTTATCGGTCATAAGATCGATATTAACGTCACTCAAATGGAAATTATTATTCCTAATCCCAGATTAGTGACTTTGCTAATGCCACTGTACCCTGGTCCTTCTAAAAACTTGTATATATACTTATTCTATTATTGCTGTTGTTATTGATGATGATGTTGATTTTTTCAACACATACTGATTATTTAAGCCTTCGTCCCTACCCCGTTAAAAAAATATATATAAACCTCTCTCTGGCACATATTTTAATCGTTATCAAAAACCCAAATGGAAATTTTCTTTATAAGAGTATTTACATTTTTTGCATTTTTTCAATTATAATCATTTTCAATTCAAAAATTTTCTAATCGGTTTTTGTTTGTTTTAATATCATCAATAATAAAAACAAACATATTTGTTTAATTCCCTTTTTCCCCATTTTGCCAGGAAAAATGTTGGTTTGTTTGTTTTTAAATGTCTTTTACTTACTACTTGCTGCCTCAAGTGGCAGCAGCAACAGCAGTTGATTTTATGAGTTTGCTGCTGGTTATTGTGGTCTATCCATCGTTAGATTTAAGTCTTTATAATTGGTATTTTTATGCTTCAATTGTTTTAAGTAACTCTCATATCATAGAGTCAAATACATATGATATATTACACATACATACATTTTACACATAAATATTTCTATGTGTTTGTATA